TTTAGCAATACGGGATTGTCTGAAACGGAAGTCAACAATTTTAATGCCTGCACTGCTCACAATAATTAGACCATCAACACAATTTCAATTACTTGAACAAAAAACTGACCGCCGGTCCATTCAAACTTAAATCAGAGCATTTGAAATGGTGTTAGAAATCTCCCGTACTGTTATGTCGGTGGATCAAGGAAATTAGCATTCGTAATTGACGTGGAAAAAATATGTTTTAATTGAGTTGAAATTGTACATGTTCGGAGGTTTTCGGGAAGAAAGGCTGAAGGCAACACAGATTTCGTTTTACATAAGATGTTCTTACTGAGGAACAAACATATGGGGCATATTTGATACGAAACTCACTGGTCTCGGAATTTGCCGATCGTCTAATATTAAACCGCGGACCGCCGGTTGACAAACACTGCTGCATTCACGTTTCACAGATTGAATGCCAGTAAGTCAAATCACTCATTATTTTTAAAACTTGGCAATTTAAAAAGACGAAGAAAATTCGTTCTACGCAGTGACACATGACGGGTCAGCTGTTCACATGCTTCCAGCGAGTGCACATTAATATTACTCAATCACTTCATGCTTTCATTATATAACCGTTTAAAGTAGAAGTATCAGTATACACCATACTTACCGCTTAGTAGTCTGAGTGATGATTCTGTCACTAATGTGTGGATCGAACACTTGGGAACCGTAATAAAGAAATTCTAACGACGACGCCTGGTTGGAGCCAGCCAACGCCAAAGCTTAGCTTCGTCTCACTGTGACAGTAACGAGCGTGGCTGGCTACAAACAGCTTTTCCATCGGCGCAAGCGCTAACCTTGGTGCAATGAACAAAGCGAATCGTTCTCAGAGCGGTAAGAGCAAATGTCGCCCTGGGCTCAGTAACATAAATAAACGTGAAAATTCTTAAACAAATACAAAAGACAGGCAATCCGAAATTATTCTTCGCATCCGTGTTCATTTCCAATTGATTTATGCACTGGTCGGATGATGAAATTACATTATCAATTTCATTATCAGTACAAATATCTGCATTTAATCCAAAATTTACATAGTTATTATTATATTGATGCTTCTGACACGACCCTAAACAACACTTCTTCCTCGATTTTCCACTTCACAATTCAGAATCATTCATCATAAAAGCATCATGCACAACTTTACGCTAATTCGTTGCGAGCCCTGCACGCCAAATTGCCGAATTTTGTCGAACGTCCTAGTTCCAACGCGTTTATTTGAATCTGCTGTGGAATGCTTTTGCTGAAAAATCTATTTTCCCCTGTCATTCACTCTGCCGCCATTTAATATTGTTAAATTTCTTATCTACCACCGTGAGGATTGTGAAAGTGATAATATTGGAGCGAGATATCTTTATAGCACGAATGGAGACGTTAAATAAATACGTACACTATTCTAGTTCCTAGACTTAACATGAAGAGAACACTTGGAAGAATAAAATGTAGCTGGGAGTTAAATTAACTAACTGCATAGTTCAGAGTTATTGAGAAACTGGTAGTCGCACTGCCGCCCTAGCAATTCCCCGCCTTTTATGGAATCAGAGTTGTATTTTCGCCACCACTGGGAATTATCCAAAGCCAGTTGAATCCATTCCTCACATTTATTTCTATACCTGTGCTATTCTTTATCCAATGCATGTTTTTGGTCGTTAATGCAGCATTCCGGTCTGAGGAAACAAGTTATGGTAATGTGAACGCGGCTGAAGTGGTTCAAGAATGATTCGTTTGGCTGGCTTTAGTGGCGACAGCCATTAAACTTCAGGTTTCAAAACAAGAGGACATTTCTATTACGAAACATCCTCTGTATTAGTTAATGTAGTTAGTCCAATTAATGTGGAGTTGACATCTGATCGCTAAGTAGCTTAAACACAATAATTGTGTTGTAGTACGCTCAGGTGCAGTTCCAAATAATATTTGCAATGTCTCCCCCCCCACAGACGTATTAAATTCCTCAGGCGAACGGTCTATTGAAGAAGCAAAGAAGTCGTATATAGAAGATAGGTGTGTTCTGGGTTGTAGCGCCGTGTATTCTGGTAGACGTTTACCGACGTCTCAGAGGTCTTTCATGCCTCCAGATCCTACCAAGTCGTATATAGTCCCACATGCACTTCGAATCGGATGCGGGTGATGGGGTCAGGAGGCCCCTTCCCTCAGTATTGTGCTTACCGACATATAAATGTCATCATCGTTACCAGGATTAAGTTCTTTGCCTGTTCCGGATTACCTTTAGAAATTTCTGTCCTTTAGTTTATATTATAACAACTTCTATATTTGATTTCTAGGCATTTGTTTTTAATATTCAGTAATTTCTTTTAAATTCACTATTAAGCTAAATAATTTTCGTCCTCGAATTTAAAACACTTCCGGCGTCTCTGACACCTTCGTTTCCGACGCAGGTGTTTTAGACCTAACATGCGCATCTCTCTGTTCGTTCAGTTTTCAGTCCCAAAACTTCGTCTGAAAGTGGGAATATATTTGAAGAAATCCGAGTAACGGCTGAACAATTCAGATATCCGATTGGAGACTAGGGAGACCAGATACTTACCTCTTGTTTGCAGAATATGAAAAATCCAAAGGACCTGCAAGTGTTCTGTTGACGGAGAAGTTCTGAAGGTCGTGAGACATCAACTTTCACTCTATTAGAGCGAGTGTTGAAAGTGCAGACAGAAGAGTAGCCTACTTAACCCTCCTTCACACTTATTACGAAAGTACTAATTAACGTTGGCAACAGAAACTTTGTAAGATTTGAGGTTTTCACGGCTGTGAGTATGAAGATTTCTGTCTTCTGGGTTGTTGTGCTGTGAAGTCTGGTCGATGTTAACCAACGTTTCAGAGGTTATACTGCCGCCTTCATCAGGGCGACAACCCAGAAGACAGAAATCTTCAGATAATGCATTATTTATTCTGTATTTGAACTGCAAGATCCGTGCCTAACAGATACGTTTAATTCGTCTTATTAAGGTCATTTTACCTGTACGTTTGTAGGTTTGAGCCTAGTTACTTTGATTACATGTTTTATAAATGATCGCTATAAACGAGATCATACTTCTTATTTTAAATCAAAATAAAACAGTGGTGGTTTCATTAATGTTATGTAATACAACTTTGCATTCATCTCATTTTCCACACAGTAAACAATGACATTCAATTTACAGCGAACATGCAGAATTGTTCTTCTAACGACGAGAAACTGTGGGTAACGACACAAATGAAGTTGTAGCATCACAGAAATTTTAAAAATACTGATCATTATTAATCAGTTTCCTTCTGTCTTAATGCCGCTGTGCTTGTGATGGGAGCCCTTTAAAACTACATTAGGACTAATTCTGCGAGATAGGCTAAATCAGCGGCTGTGCAAAATTGTTCCCTTTCACCGACGAAACAGCAGCGACTTTCCGAACAGTGTATGAACTTTAGTTACACGTATATCAACTACTACGTAAGCATGGAACACGCATTTTCTGACTTGAACATGTTTTAACACTCAGTACAAATTATTATATTTATACATTTCCATTTTCAGGGTTCTTAAAACATAATCCTTCTGCGTGTTTTTAAATTGTCACAACACATAAAATCAATGCTATGTTTAAATAGCTAGAACTTAAAAAGAGATTTTTGTGAGTAAAATTTTAATGTCTACTGTTTAAATTAATTTCCGACATCCTTATGTATGTAATATGTAAATATACTAATCAGCAGACCCTAAAAACTTGTTTTAGCCCCTTGATGTCGAGGTATCAACTGTTTAAGTTACTTGTATTTTGACACATTCTACTGTGATGTAGGCCTATAGAAAATATTTTCTGAATGAGACAAGACACTGACTTCTTCTGGTAAAATGTTCTCGGGGGATTCGCCCTGAATAATTTAAATGTTTGCTGCAGGTGCCTAAGCGTATCGAGCCTCCAGTTTGTTCGCCAGTGCGACGTAAGCTTCCATTGCGACTTCTTTGGACTGTCCTTTCTTGTCGCTCCACGCTTCCCACTTCGCTTTGCCTTTCAAGTCCAGCATCCCAGGCTTCTCTGAAAGGTAAATTGATCCTTGTCATCTTGCATGTTCGTAAGTTCGTAAATGACCAAGTACTTATGCTGCAAGATTACCATATGCTTTTAAACTTAAGAGATATGTTTCTGAAAAAAATGTGCTTTCAGTGTATGTATTAGCAGATATTATCAGCTTGCCTGGCTAGTAGATAATAATGTTTTAACACCGATATTTAAATAATTCTTACGAAAAGAAGAATGAATTTAATATGTGTTAGTTATTATTGAAGGGTTTAGTTCCACATATAAGCGCAGGGGAAAACGTCTGTCGGGCCTTCAAACCCATTCTGTGCCTCGAGATTGTATTTGGCAGCAAAGAGAGGTATTAACGTTTGATTTATGGATGAACTGTTTTTGATGGTTAAAGACTGCCGCTTGTTTAACAAGCATTTTAAACGGTTGCATAGGTTGACGTGCATAGCGTTGAATCGGTGGAAGATTATTGAAGGAAAAGGGTGTGATTTTTATACACTATCTCATAATTTGCTTGGTGACATGAAAAATACCACGAAAATACCAGAGAGGTTATTAGGACTCTGGATTGAGATCTGATCCTGGGATCTCCCGAGTATTAACATCTCGATTCCTGATATGAATATCTGCTTATTCCTCAGTTTTACTGTTTCGATGTTCTACATCAATACAAATGGAAAGTATGTCGTGACGTACACTTGAACAAATGCTATTAGGGTGATAAAATAAAAAATGATGTGATGGGTGGGGCATGTAGTTCGTATACCGAATTTTAATCAGAAAAATTGAATTGATGAAATCTCTTGGAAGACCTAGGCGTGGATGGAAGGATAACATTAAAGTAGATCTCAAAGAAGTGGTATGTGTGCATGTGGGTTGGATTCATATGGCTCAGGATAGAGTGTAGTGTCTGGATCTTTGAACACGGTAACATATAATTGGGTTCGATAAAAGGGAGGTTACGTCTTCACTTGGTAAGTGACCATTGGCTTCTCAATAAAGACCCTGATCCATGGAGTTGGACTTAAGTGTTTTATTAGCAACCCAGAAGAACCTAATAACCATGGGATGCAATTTGTCCAGTTACCTTTGTGATTGTCCCCATCAGTGGCCTGCTTGAAGAGGGCATACAACTGCAGAAGTTCGTCGTCACTGGGCCGTTTCTTGAAATTCTTCACGCTCTCAGCAGCTTCGTTAAATTTCTGCAGATAATTAAAAATAAAAAAACATTATTCTAGAAAAACTACGTCAGTCATTCTAGTTGCAATTGATGAGAGAATCCCCAGACTTGAAAGAAATTTATTCTCATGTTTTTCGCTTATACTATAGCGTAAAGAACTCCTAAAATCTATTCGCTAATAACTGATTATGGAAGGAGTTTGTTATCGGAACACTGTAATCGCGATTTTAAATACGGTTTGGGGAATCGACGACCATTGTGCTTCTCTACGTAGGCAGGGCCTTACAAAATTCTGATCCCTATTCAAGGTGATTTGCCGCTTGTCTTAATGTACGCCAAACAAGGAAAATAATGTGTGGTGTTTACTTTTTGTAATTTCCATTTTGCGCACAAACATGTGTAGAAGGAAACTAGGACTGTCAATACATTGTATAGGCCTGGAGTTTCTTTGCCAATGGAATGTTCAAATCGCTATTTTAGATTAAACGCTAAGGTCGTAGGACCGCTCCGAACAATTTACCTTTCCGCTGAATTAAGGAAGACGGACAAGGGTTATTATTAGTTTATTTAACGACATTTTGTCAAATGCATATGTTGCATAGCGTTCGAAGGGAGGATAACTGTGAATGGAGGACTGAGAAGCATGTGGGGGGAAAAGCGGCCGTGGCTTATTTAAAAATATCTCATAATCATTTGCCTCAGGGCACTGAGGAAGTCCACGAAAACACACAGGATATTCGGACTGTCGGTCTGGATTCTAGACATGAGTGCTAATTACCAGCAATGGTTCAAGGGAGCTCAGCATTACTGCATTGCGTTCCGTTATATTTCTTTAATGCCAGTTGTTTTCTTATACGCTTTCCACTTGTAATGTGAAAATGTGTGTACTCATTCCGCCCGCAGCTGTCTTCTTTGCGGAGTTGCAGTAACTTGTTTAAAAATAAAGGAAACGAATTGTTTTTGCACTTCCAAGAAAATATCATTAAGAAAAAGTGACATCCTTGTCAGTGATGCACTGCATTACCCTTTCATTCCCCTCAACCGTTTCCAGCAGGCCTGTTCAAATGCAAGAATCTGCGGGTTCCGATACAACCATGTGTTGAGTTGCACTGACAACTAGGAGACCGATTCAGTGCAATTATTTGCGCTAGATGCCTTGTCTGCGGTCTTGAATTGCGTCACGAGGGCAAAAACATAGATTGTAGATTCAGAAAAAAAAGAGTAAAACTGTAAAAAAGGAAATCATCAGACAAAGAAACGAACGCCGTAAAGCAGAGTTCTTCTTGAGAAGCCAATATTACGTCCTCAGAAATTCCTCGCATTTATGAAGTCACAACAGCCCGACGCTGATCCTTCTCTTGAGTAAGATTAATCAAATCAACATTTTTTTATCCCAGTTTCCCTAACGTTAGATCAGTTTCAATATTACAAGAAAAAATAAAATGTAAGTGAAAAAGAAATGCAGAGATGATGTTAGAACAATATTTCAAAATGCATTGTATGTGAAAGTTTTGAAAATAACCTAGGTCACATGAATAATGGTTTTCCTTAAAATGGCACATATGATATTGGTACATGTTTTCGATTTTGGTCTTCTGGGTAGTAACGTCATATGAACTTGTAGTCAGATACCAACGTGTCGGAGGAACATGCTGCCTCCATCTTCAGTCCACACGGCGTTACTACCTGTAAGACCAATATCGACAAATTGTGCTAGTATCATAGGCTTATACGCCGTTTTAAGGAGAAAATCATTATTTATTGCACCGAATTAATTTTAAAAAGTTTATTTTAAAATGTCTCGAAATATCTACACCTTCACCGCCGTGAGAACCTCAAATTTAAACTAGCAAAAATTCCTCTTTTTCTTTGTTTTTTCTCGGTATTGCAGTATATTTGTCTATAATGTTTAACTAGGTGAATAACGAATGATACGTCACTTCCTGTTACCGCTCCTACCTTCAACATACAGTAAAATGTGAACACGTGAAAATTAACATATTGCAAATATTCACATGCTCAACCAAGACTAACACAGGAGAAATGTTTTTAGCGTCAGTTTATATTAAGACATTTTTAACGGAACCTGAAACGAAGTGCCAGAATTCTCGATGGCCCAGTTTATACTCCTGATTTCAGGTATCGAAAGTTTTTCGAGATTTTCACGAGTTTCTTCAGCCAGATGATGAAGCAGTCTCTCAAATACAGACTAGGTTTATACATAAGAGCTAAGAATGCATTTGACGGCCAATACAGTTCACTGGTACCAAGGAAAATGTGTATAAGTTCTGAAAGTTCAGGAAACGAAATCATTTCCGGAAAATTCTCATAAATCATGTTTACTGATTTAAAAAAATATATAAATGTAATTAGGCCCTTTTCATGAATTTGAGGCTGAAGTGATAATTTTGATGAATTACAGGTTCTATGTAATGTAAGCTGTAAAGAAGCAATCATACTTCGGTTGTAGGCTAGTTCTTTTATTTATAACTCTTTGTCCTGGCACAGGCAAATCATCAATGTAATTGTGTGTTCTCTGCCACCTTTTTTGTAAATACTAGGTGCAATATGTAAGCCCAACATACTTTAGGTCATGTGAGACTAAGTCTAAATAATACGAGTTTATGGTAGTAACCTTTGCCATGCGTCCTCAGCCACAACAGCTTCTTGTTACGAACCGAACGCCAGTTAATTATGCAATGGAATTATGGATGGAAAAACAACCCATAGGTCGGGTGACTTCCTCAGACGTCATTTAATTGACTGACTAAACCTTGAGAAGTTGATAATCGCTCAGCTAGTAAAATTTCCCAGCTTTTATCGAACCAGCATTCACAATATCCCGTCAGTGGTCGCTGTTGTGAGCCAGATGAATCCAGTTCACACCAAATTTCTTTAAGATTAATTTGAATATTATCAGCCCATGTACGCTTAGGTTTCGCTTCAGGTGCTGGACTATCATTTTGTATGTATTTCTCATATTTCCTATGCGTGCTACATGATCCGTCACTTTCATCCTACTTGATGTGATCACCTTAATAGTATTTGGTGATGTATAAAAACGATGAATTTCTTGGTTATATATTTGCATTCACCTGTCACTTTCTCCTCACA